CTTGAGAAGGGGGGCGGTGAATGAGAGAGAGAGAGAAAGGGAGGGGGCGATGGGAGAGAGAGAGGGAATGAGAAAGAGGGAGAGGGGGAATGAGAGTGTCCAAACAAAGAAGAAGTTAGCTTTGCTAATCAGACTGGCTCATGGATGACCAGTGTTTAGTTACTGAAGCCACATTTGAAGAGGAAAGGAAGTAAGGATGTCTCTTCCAGTAATTCCTGACAGAAGGCATGGTACTTGTCTTCAAATAGCTGACAGGTTGCCACATGGAAGAAACATTCTATTTAATCTGCAGAGCCCCAGTGCCCAGAACTGGGAGTCACGGGTAGTCGGTCACGAGGATGCATTTCAGCTCCATATAAGGAAGAGCTTTCCACAGTTAGGGTGATCTAAACATTGAACTTGGATAAAATTGGGAGAAGCAAAGAAAATCCTAGGGTGTGGTAACTTCTATTCTTTGCCTGGGTGGTAGGTACTTAAGTACCTTTGTTTTATTATTGTTTTTCAACTGACATGTAGATTTCCATATACTCTTCTGTGGGTATGACATATGTTACAATGAGAAACCTAGGTTGACTAGGTGTTAGGCAAAGTACTGAGTTCCTCGTCATGGTGAGGGTCCAAGGAGAGGCTGGAAGCACTCAGCAAGAGGATGCAAGAATGACCTCTGACCTTCAGTCCATCTCTAAGATTCTACACATCCAAAAATCCACGGACAATTAGTAAAGGGAAGCTTTTCTAAAATATTTTCAAGGTGATTGCCCTTTAATTAACTTGAGTTGAGGCCCCGGTCCATCGTTCGCTACAATTATTATGGGCGTTTGTTAGACTATGATCCCAAGTGTCTATTATGGTGATTATCATGTTTATTGGCCATTGTATAATGAGAATCAGATACACAGTCCCTGCCCTCTTAGGATGACAAATGATGCAGACAGTCATAAAGAGTATGGATTCCCAGTTCCGGCCAGAGCCGGACACAAACAGTGAACAAATACAAAAGACAGGAAAAAGGTCCATGTAGCAGACAGGTCAAGGTTTCAGGTCTTACCAGAGTGGGGAATAAATACACAAGGGCCTTGAGAAACATACCCTAGGTGGGTCAAGATCAGGAGGAGCTACCCCTCCGTTCCAATTAACTTCCGCAGGCTTCCTGGGAGAAGCGAGGTTTCAGAAAAACATAGATTCTGGCAATCGTACATTTGGTTAGGGGAACATTTTTCTCCTAGGCTGCCAGGAAAAAGAGAGAAAAAAAGCCAAAACAGCTTAAGTGGCCATTTCCTCATGGTTATCCTGTTCTCCTGTTCTGTTCCTTTGTGATCTTTCACTACCCGCTCCCCTGAGATGGGGGAACCAAGACCTGAAAACGGGAAATGAGAGGAAGGGGTATTTGTCGACTGTGATAGATGTGGAATCAGGGAGAGTCCTTGAGTCCCCAAGTCACTGCTAAACAAACAGACAGGCTCTGCCCCTTCTGGCTGAGCCGTGACTTGGGGCCAAGTTACTTCTGCTTTGGACTCACTTAACCTTTAAGCTGGGGATCCCCACTCATGTTACTGACATTAAGTCCTCCAACTTCACAACAACCTGAGGTTAATGGGAAAAATAAACCAAAATACAAAAGTCTTATGATCTACTTGAGTCCAGTGTGGTAAAATACAAATAATCCATAGTCAAAGTTTATTTTCTCATAATTTATCTTCACGTTACTGAAGGGGGAACTGAGTCAATATAAATAATGTTCTAATGTCACATTTTTCTTTCTGAAAATTCTTGTCATGGTCGTTTTATGGATGGGGACACCGAGGCCCGGAGTGATTGAAATGTGCTGTCTCAAGGTACGCCTCATGAAGTAGTGCCTGGATGAGAAACTCAAGAACCTGAATGCTCAAAGCAAAATTCTTTTCCATTAGCTTCCTACCCAAGTTGGAAACATTCAATTCACTCAAGGTTTGTGCAATTAGGTGATAAAGGCTGTAAAGTTTCAGTTCTTGATACCAAAAACAGTGTGGGGCCTGGGGTGGTAGCGAGAGTAAGCATGATCCTTGACCTTCATGCAGAGTTTCACGGTTCACGAGTGTTCCACAGCTGCGACCACACCCCATCCTCATCAGGGACATCGATAGTGTCGCCCTTTTACAGGTGAGGAGGCCAGGACTCATTTAGCGGCTTGTCAGAGGACACCGTTAGCAAAGGGCCGAACTGGGACTGAAACTCAGGTCTTCAGAATCCAAGTTCAGTGAGAACACCCTTTGTGGGCAAGAGGCCACCTGAATTTTACTGGGAGACTGAGAGGAGATTGAGGGAGGTGGGAAGGAGCTAGTCTTGGCGGCACACCAGCTCGTGTATTGGCAGAGAGGGATATTATCATCATCAAGCATTTCGAACAATGACACAGAAGTGCTCTGGGCCCTGAGAGACCCACTGCAGTGCTAACCTCTGAGGGCCTGCAATCTAAGACAAACACACCCAGAAGAGCAAACATGCGCATGCTGCATCAATGCTCTCTACTGCAGTAGATCTGCCCCAGTGATCTACTCCGTGGGTAGAGAGGGAAGTATTTCTACCACATACATGGCCAGGGAAGTTTGGGATGTGGAGAATATAAGTGCATAAATAAAAGATAAATAAAATTGGGAGTGATAATAAAAAAATAAATAAAAATGGGAGCGATAAAGAAGAGCAAGCAGGGCAAAGAAGAAACACAAACACACCAATCCAGGAAGATTGGAAGAAGGATGGAAGAAAAATAAACTTTGGTTCTTTTTCTTCTTTTTTAAAGTTAAGAAGCACCGGAGTCGCTGTGTTGTGGCAAGAGCAGACTGGACAGTGTGAGATTTAGAACAGAACTCGCCCCCCAGCATATGGGACAATCGCAAAGACAGGTAGGAAGCGGCGCAGTGGGCAGTGGCAAGGGCCACAGCGGGCCCAGAGCAAGTGGAAACTCAAGAGGTCACGACCTGTCTTGACTCCTAGACTATGCCTACGGTGTTTCCACCCGCATGCCTTCAGAAAGCTCATGCTCTCTGTATTTCAGGAGCAAGAAGAACCTCCATGGCTGCGGAAGTCTATCTGGAGCAGTTGAAGGCAGCAGGTTCCACGGTGAAGGACAGGACTTGAGTGCGCTGGGTGAGGAGTCCCTAACCGTGCCAGTCTCTCCAGATTCTGCCACCACAGAGCGATTCGCACCGCAAAACTTATTTATCTGGGCCCTGTAATTGTCAGGAAATTCCCAGTTTGCGTGGTCAAACCCAAATCTGCTTGTTGAGTCTGAGGCCAGTGATTAGATTCTTAATGTAAAAAACTTGTGTGGAGCTCTGCTGGGACATAAACATTACTCGATACCTCAGTTCAGACTCCAGCCAGGTAGAGAGACCTGTTTATCTCTGCTAACGGTGTTTACTTACTCAAGTCATCCTTTGTGACCCTAATTAGCCAGAGAAGCAGCAGCAGAGAACCACTAAGAGACCAGGGTGAATAAGAATATGCCGAGAGTGCCTGGTTCTGGTTGCTGGCCCTTCGTACCACACAGGGTACTTGGAGGCCAGGTTCTGGCTCTCACCAGGACAGTTTGAGCCCTGAGCCAAAGGTTAGCAATTTCATACTTTCAGAGGAAGCTGCTCCTGATCACCCTAGTTTCTGAGTTGACACAACCAGTAAGATTAAAGACTTCTGCGATAATGATTCTTAGGATTATTTTTGCTAATATTTGTTCATCTGCCCTATTTACAATGTGCTCTTCTCTTTTAACCACTCTACATGTATTAACACATTTGATAAAACCACATGAGCAGGTACTGTAGGAACTGACACAGAGAGGTTAAGTAACTTAATGGGGGTCACACAGCTAGTAACTGAAGGCACTAGGATCCAACTACAATTTACATTGTTCAGCTAAATCCCAGTATTTTTTTTTAAGATTTTACTTATTTATTTGACAGAGAGCTAGAGAGAGAGCACAAGTAGGCACAGAGGCAGGCAGAGGGAGAGGGAAAAGCAGACTCTCCACTGAGCAGGGAGCCCGACATGGGGCTCGATCCCAGGACCCTAGGATCATGACCTGAGCCAAAGGCAGCTGCTTAACCAGCTGAGCCACCCAGGCGCCCCTAAATCCCAGTATTTTAATAAGAATGTTCAACAAAACATCTGATATTTACATAGAAGACATTGTTCTAGGCACTATGCAGAAGACACAAAGGACATATAGACAGTTCCCACAAAGAGCTCATGGTATAGTTACGGATATTGGTAATCCTCTCTACGGCCCTAAAATTTTGCTCATTTTATTCACAATAGTTAACCCACCAACAGCTAGAGAATGGCTAGTGGCAAAGCCAAGCACGGACGGGCGGTGATGTTCCCCTGCTCTCTGTAGCCCTTGGGAGGTAAAGGTCCCCACTAGCTCTTCAATCCTGCTGGGTTCCATCCCTATTCTCCACGTCTGCCGCTCTCAGGGCTCACGCCGCCTTACCCCTGCCGACCCCCACTCAGTGCTCATGCCCATTTGTTTACCCCTGCCGACACCCACTCCTCCCTTTCCCGCCCCTGGTGGGCCTGGAGCTGGGGACGAAAGCCAGGGCGAGCTGCTGGCGGCCCTCACCACGAATGCGCCTTTGGCAAGGCCGAAAATGCTCTCGACAAGACACTCGCGATCGCTCGCCCGGGTAACACAAGGCAGAAGAAAAAGAAAGGGGGATGTTTTCTAGCGACTCAGGGAGAGGCGAGCCAGCTGCTTGCATCTGGACACCGGGACTGGACGCAGACCGACGGGGACCCGGGGGGCGCTGCCGGGCCCCGAGGCACCCGCGGCGTCCCTCCCCCGGGCGCGCAGGGCCCTCGGCGGGCACAGGGCTCCGACCCCCGCGGGGCTGGGTGACAGGAAGTCCCCGGGACTGCGATCCCTGCGCCTCCGCCCGGCCGCGCGTACCGAACCCGCCCAGCCCGCAGTCGGGGCCGTCCCGCCCCCCACGAGCGTGCGTGACGTGCCCCCGCGGCGTGTTGCAGCGCGGCGCCCGGCGGGAGGAGCGCGGGGGCGGGGCGGCGGAAGTCGGCGTCTGCGGCGAGGAGAAGGACGGGGGCGCGGCCCAGGGGGAGAGCCCGGCGGACGGCCCCGCCCCGGCCCCGCCCCCCGGCCGTGGGCGGAAGTGACGACAGCAGCCGAGGAGGTCACTTCCTGCTAGGGTGGATGAGGAGGAGCCGGAGACGCCGCGGAGGAGACGGGAGCGAAGACGGGCCGCGCCGGGGAGAGGTGAGTCCCGGCCTCGTCGCCGGGCCTTCCCGGGCCGATCCCGGGCCTCACGGGCAGTGTCCCCGGGGTCGGGCCCCCAACGGGCCGCCCACCGCTCCGGCCGGGCCGCCGGCAGCGGGGGGGCGGCCGGGCCCCCGGTGTGTGAGGGGCGGCCGGGACCCGGGGCGCGTTCGTGCGGTGGCTCCGCGGGGCCCCGGGGGGAGGCCGGCCCGGCCGGAGGCAGGAGGGAGGGAGGCTCCGGGGGCCGGGAAGCCGGGCTGCACGCCGCCGCGGGGCAGCCGCAGCGCCGGCCTCCGCTCGCCTCGCCCTCCCGGGAACGGCCGCGAGCTGAGGAAGGGCGAGGGCCCGGGGGGGTTGCAGACTCGAGACGAGCGGCCTCGCGGTGAATTTATGGGCGGCGTGGACAAGGCGTCTGCTGACTCCGGCGAGGGGGCGATCGGGGAGCCGGGGTGTCGGGAGGAAGCTTCTTGGTCAAGTCCTTGCCGCGGCGGTGTCCGGACCCCCGAGTCGTGCGCTTGGAGGGCACTCCTGCGGCAGAATGGAGGGCCTGCATTCCGACGGAGCCGTCCGGGACTGGGAGCCCGGGCGGCTTCCTGGAACGGTGGGGAGCGGTGTTTTTCCTCCCTGGTTGTCGCGGAGATGGGAGCAGCCGGGAGAGGCTCCGAGGCCTTGTGATTGTGTGCCGTGTGTGACTGCGTGTCTGTGTTTGCGTCTGTTTTCTCTTTCCTTTGGGGTGTTTATGTCGTCCTCATAGTTTTATAGACAAACTCGCTGATTATCTTAATGTACGTGGTGAGAAAAAAAGCTCGAAAGAGCTAGAGGAATCCGAGGTTAGATGAAATTTCCAAGATTAGGAATTCGCCCCCACCCCACCCCGAGGCCACTGAGGCACCTACGTTCCGTCCAGGAGCGCTCTTGCTAATGTGGGTGCTGCGGCCCTGTCATCCACCCTGGGGAGCAGAGAGCGGAGATCTGCCCTCTCCTGTCCTCCTCTCCCTCAGGCAGCTTCACCCCTCCCTCCGTTTTGCTAAAGGATTGACTGATACAAAGCTGCTTGCTACTAGGAACAGGAAATTTATTGAGGATCTGTAAATCTGGATGGAATGAATTCAGATCACAGCAAGACCCCCTGCGCTTTTTGAACAGAAGTTTCTCAGAAATGCCTGCCTTTTTTCCTTCCTGTTAAAGGGAGAAAAATGTAAAAATATTTCTCAAAGTAATGTAACTGTACATGTGGTGTGTTTACTTCCTGTATCCCACGGTGTTTTTCAAGGAGGAGGGGGTTAGTTTCTGACTGGGAGGAGTTTTCCTTCTCCCATATCCCGTAATTCAGCAAAATAAATCAAAATCAGATGTTTTCTGGAGTTGCAGTCAGATGGACTTGGATTTTTTTTACTCTTTTTAAAACTGGTACATCTGGGTGAACTCAGGCATGTGTGTCTTGGCATCTGGGCCTGTCTAGTAATAGAAGAAAACCGTTTGGCTTGTTTTGGCTGCCTTTCTGGACCCATTTCACTGCCCTCTTCCTTTCTTACATCTGAAGGGCTGGTCAGGAGGAAGAAAGCAAATATTAAAGACAGTTTACACTTTGTGGTTTAAAGTCAGGTGAGAGATAATTACGGCCTTTGAAGCTGATGACCTGAGGACCATCATTTGAGGACCTGGGGATTAGCAGTGTGGAGGTGACATATTTGAAAGAAAGAGGGTTACATGAGGAGGAAAAGACAAGGAAAGGAAGTTTGGGGAAAGGCTGTGCCAGAAAACCTTGGGAGGAGAATAAATAAATAGCACCTTAAAGGAATTGATGTGGCTTGTGTCTCTCAGCAGGAGGGCGAAAATGAAAGCAGGCTGTAGCATCGTGGAAAAGCCCGAAGGAGGTGGAGGTGAGCCGAAGTTCGTCATCTCTGATGTACCTGGAATGTCCCTCAGGGGTTCCTTTTCTCTCCACTTGGGCTCTGTTCACAAATGTCAGACCGTGGCTGGACAGCCTCTTGACTGGGTGGATACGGCTAGCACAGTTGTAGGTTTGTTTCTTATGGGTGTATGTTAACATGGCTGGTCACCACACCTTTATCCCAAGCTTTAGAGTCTCCTCCCTGTTAGAGACACGGTTCCACCCTCAGGGACAAGGGGTTTTCCACGTATTTCCCTAAAATGTTAGTTTGTCTTTCCTGTTTGTTTCTGTCGGAATGTTCCTGCCCTCATGGAAAGTAGGTGTGAGATTTAGTAATGGAGGAAAGAGCGAGAGGTTGGCACACCTGGGTGCTGCTGTCCAGCTCTAGCAGATCAAGTGATTGCCACCCGAAAGGTGATGTTTCCGTGCTTTCCTCTCCCCTGTTGTGGTTAGCCCCAGCTGACCGAAGGGCTGTTTACGGCATGTTTGCACAGCACTCTAGAGATTCTGAGCATCGGAATGTGAAGTCAGGGATACTGATATGTATGAACCTAACTCCTGACTACCTTGATCTTGCCCTTTTCACATTAAAGGGTATCAGTTCCCTGACTGGGCCTATAAAACCGAGTCCTCCCCGGGCTCCCGGCAAATCCAGCTGTGGCACTTCATCCTGGAGCTGCTGCAGAAGGAAGAGTTCCGCCATGTCATTGCCTGGCAGCAGGGAGAATATGGGGAGTTTGTCATCAAGGATCCCGATGAGGTGGCCCGCCTCTGGGGCCGCAGGAAGTGCAAACCCCAGATGAACTACGACAAGCTGAGCCGGGCCCTCAGGTGAGGGAAAGGGTTCCCAAATCCATGCTGTTAACAGATCGGAAGGAGACGAAGCAGTGGGGTGAATGTTGGATAAGAAGGGTATCAGGTGGAAAGAGACTGCACTATCTAAGTGAATATGTGTAGCTTTGAAGTGGGAGGAGAGGAGCTGCTGAATCTGAGTAGCACAGGCACAGGAGGAGAAAAGCATATCTTTGGTTCTATGTAGGAGGGAATTCCAACGTGGTTGGCATTGGGTCCTGACAGACCACCGATTTCTGCTCTGTAGTGGGCGAGCGTGTGTGGTGAAACTCGGGTTAGAGCTCATTTGTAATCTGAAAGATTAGACTTCCCTGTGGGAAATCTGTTAGAATTTCTCTTCTTTAGGCTCTCCTGGAAGAAACTGGGAAATGTGAAGCAAGCAGAGCACACAGGAGGAGAGTTCCCTGAATGGTCCTGACCTTGCTGTTCAGGTCCCATATCTGTGAGCTCGGTTGTCAGTCCAAAGGTTGCTCTGACATGTCTAAAGATTGACCCCTTCAGGTTCTTCCCATTTCTTTTTTTCCCCCTTGTCAGTTTTTACATTTCATAACCTCTTCACCCTCAAGGGGCCAGGAGGCCGTATGTAAACGGCGCTCCTGAATAGGTGCCTGGCCAGAGGCTGCAGGTCGGCCAGAGGCTGCAGGTCCGCCGGAGGCCCCTTTCTCTCTTCAGTCTTGGTGACCTTGAATGTCAGAGCTGGGCAGCTGCGCTGGAGCCTCTCTCGCATCCTTGTGAAAGTGAGGCAGGCCAGGCTGCCTGCTGTTTCCCACATTGGGGCACATGATTGTTGGACCCGCTGACACAAAAGTTGGACATTTCTTCGCCTGTGCTTTGTGCTCGGGCCTCCAGACTGGCCATGTCAGGCATCCCAAGAGACTTGTCTACTCCCGCCTGGGCACGGCAGTGACACACAGGGGAACAGGAAGGAAATGGACTATGGAATTGAAACTAGAGTGGACAGAGGAGAAGGGTGGTTGGGGCTAGGATAGGTGTTTGGGATCTTAAAGTGACATTGTCTTTGTAAAGCTCCAGCCAAGGACTTAGAACTCCGTTTGAAAACTGAATAAGTCTACCAGCCCTAACCTCAAGGCCAGGCTGCAAAAGAACGGTAGTGATGTTTCCATGTAATACTTAGAGCCAGAACTGTTGATCTCAGTGGTTACCGGTGTGTATCAAAAATTGTCAGTAGCTAGAAGATAAATTGACACATGTTCCTGTTTTTACAGATACTATTACAACAAGAGGATCCTTCATAAAACAAAAGGGAAAAGGTTTACTTATAAATTTAACTTCAACAAGCTGGTGATGCCCAACTACCCATTCATCAACATTCGGTCAAGTGGTAAGAAGCAAACTTTTGGTGGGGAATGAATTTTGATTTTTTTTTTTAATAAAGATTTTATTTATTTATTTGAGAGAGTGAGAGAGAGAGCCCAAGACGGGGTAGGGTCAGAGGGAGAAGCAGACTCCCCGCCGAGCAGGGATCCCGATGTGGGACTTGATCCCAGGACTCCGGGATCATGACCTGGGCCGAAGGCAGTCACTTAACCAACTGAGGCACCCAGGCACCCATGAATTTTGATTTGATAAAGAAGTTTAAAAACCCAAGTCTAAGACCTGGCATGTTAAAGGATTTTTAGAAATTAGACTAGAGTCCGTGGACTGCCCACAGGGTCCTGCTCAGGTTTCTCTGTTTGTCCCCTACAGGGAGTGACAGGCTCTGTCTGCTACATCAAGAGAGATTTGTTTAGTTGTTTATTTGGTTCTCTTTTGTGCATATTATTTGTGTCTCCCAGATACTTTTCCACTGGTCTTTAGGAGTTATGTTCCATAGGTTCTCGTTCATCTTTCAGTTCAGAACTCACAGTGTTAACACCCTGCCCAGCGGCTCTTTCATAGATGAGAACCGGTTTCTACAAACACTTCCGATTTTCTATGAAACTACCAAGCTCTCCCTTATCAAGTGAATATCATCAAAACCACAGCATCCTTAATCACAGAAGGGGAGGTTCGTATGTTTGCAGTGAAAAGCAGCATCTTTGATCTGCACCAGCACCTCCCCAGAGAGCACGGCCTGGGGTTACTTGACCTTCTTTGCTCTTAAGTGCAGTAGGGCTTCCCCTCCGGGCTCTTCTCAGGTAGCTCGCCGTCACAGCCCCTCACAAAGCTTTCAGGTCAGCCTCTGTCCAGTCTCTTAGAAGGGGGTTGGTTTTGTTTCAGTTCAGAGGCAAGACCTCTCCCTCCGTAGGAAAATAGATTGTACTTAACTAGTTTCTGACCAGTCCATCAGTACTCTGTTTCTGTGGCATTGTGTGTTATGCTGCAGTATTCTGACTTCTCAGAGAAAAGTCGAAAGAAACTTGAAAAATCAGAGCGGGGGTGTGGCTGAGAATATAATGCTGAGATCCATTGCAGATAGGTCATTAACTGCACACGACAAGTTGGGGCAGTTTGGGCCGGGTGCTGCTATCGGCCCAGTTCCATCTCCTGTCTCCTGTAGCCACTCCCTCCTGTCCCTGGGGCGTGCGTTAAAAAAAAAAAAGTGGTATTGGAATGCATCTCTCTAATTACAACCTGTTTTCTTTCCTGGTGCCTGAGGGAGAGGTGTTAGGAAATCAGACCTATTCTAGCCACTGGAATCCTGTTTCCTCTAGTTTTCACTCCGGCCCCTTTCCTGTGTACCTAGAGGAATTGGGACTCTACGTGGATATATCAGCAGTTTTGAAGAATGTGCTGGTGTTCCATACCACTCCCCCAGCCTGGAACAAGGCACACCCATCAGCCCTTGGGAGTAATGTGCCCTTCCAGGGCAAGAAAATCTGGATCCTCACTCGGGGAAGACTCTGGTCTGCCAGGGACCTAGCGGTAATGGCCTGGCACAGCCTAGTCTGCCTGAAAGCAGGGGGACCAACATTGATCCTTAACAAAGCTCAAGACCCTAGCAGAATGAAGTCACAGGGAAAGCAGATCAGTGTGCATTTCGTTTAGGTATATACTTGGTTGCTTACGTTCTGGGTACAGATAACCCCAAAGAACGGGAGTCATTAACTTATAAAGAACTTTTACCTAGATAGGCCAAATGTTGTCTCTGGTTTAACTTTTATGGTGAGAGGGGAAACAACATTTATTGAGCATCTGCTTCATGGAGGTACTTTTGTTTGGTGTTTTGTGAGTTATCACGTTCAACTCTCCCAGGCTGCTATAAAGTGTATATCTCAGTATTCACATTTTACAAATGAGAAGATTACAGAGGACAGCAAAGTCCAAGATTGATGTGGGCCTGTTGAATACAGTCACCTGTTGAACGGTTTCTCAGGAAACCATTCCTGAGAGACTGAGCTATTGAAATCCAGCTTTTATTGAATAGTTCATACATTCCTCCCCCAGATTGGGATTCATTCATTTGCTCAACAGATAATGTGTTAAGCCCTGAAGACAAAAAGAAAAGATTATGGTGGAGTTCTTTCTCTCAAGGAACATAAAATTTAGCAGGAGAGATAAGATAGAGGTTGAGCACAATTCGAAATAACAGTGTGGAGTGTGACAAGCTCTCTGGGTAGCAGAGCTGTGTGGATTTTGATCCTGGAGGTCAGAGAGATCATGTCTAGATGGTGGTGGTACGTATCCAAATAATTCAGAGGTTTAGAGTAAAAAGCACAAGCGCTCTCTCTTCCCCCACCGTCCTCCTCACCATTGACCGTTAAGGGTAGAATGCTTGACATTTGGATGGTGTGGACGTACTTCTGTGTATGCTATCTTATCATTACTCTTAAAAGTGTGTTATAAAATACGTTACTCTGTATTTTTGAACGTTTATTGTCCATCAGAAACATTGGGAACATACAGAAGATAACTAGGAACAGTGCTCACCTGGCAGGGTGGGACAGGCCGGCTCAGGGACGGGTTCAAGAGTTCTCCTCTGTGCCTCCCTTCCCCCCACCCTGGTGTTTTGTATTTCTCTTTATTTTGGAAAACTTTAAACCTATAGAAAAATGGGAAAAAATAGAACTGTGAACACCCATATGTCCTCTCTCTAGGTTCACTAATGATTGACATTGTAACCACATGTTTTTTCTCTTACATATATTTTTTAAGTTTTTTTGAGGTTAAGTTACAGACATGATGACATTTGTGCCCTGTATACTTCAGCACATATCCCCTAGGTACAAGGATATTCTCCTCCATGACCCCAGTAACATTAACATACCTGGGAAATTTAACAAGACTCTACTATTCTTGTCTAATAGTATGTGCCTTTTACAGTTTTTGTTTTTAAAATGTGATTATTGTGTAATAAAAAATTACGTGTCCTAACAAATATCTAACATGCAATTTGCTGTGTGCTGATACTATTCTAAGGACTTTATAAAAATATTAAGCCTTTTAAGTTTTCATAACATGAGGATTAGTCCTGTTGCTGACCCTTTTATAGGTAAGGAAACTGAGGCGCAGAAAGGTAAGTAAATTATCCAGAGTCACACAGCTAAGAAGTGGTAGAGCCAGGGTTTGAACCTAAGCAAACGTCTTTTTATTTCCATTTTGCCAAAGGGGGTCAAAAACCAGTTGGTTACATGCCACGAAATAGAAGGTGCAAGGACTGAGATTCACACCCAGATTTGTCGGCTCAGCCACTCAGATTTCATCGTGGCTCCTTGAAGGTCATCTTCTTCAAAGCAGTGTTATTCAGAGTTGTGGAAGCAGTAAGCTTATTTTTTTCAAACAGAACCCTAGACCTGTTGTCTCAGCATACCCCATGTAACCGTAGGACAGCTACGCTTGGTCAGAGGTGAGGGTCCAGAGTGCTCCCTCCAGCATTGCTCCTAGGTTACACCTTCCCTAAGTTCGTTTGGAAAGTGGTGTGTGTTCTGTTCTCGCAAATTTACAGTGTACCTTGACCTGTATAAAGAAGGAAATACCCTCCAGTTTAAAAAAAAAAAAAACTAAACTAAATTGTTCAGGAGACAGGACCTTCTCTCCCCACTCCCCTCTGCCACCACATTATACTCCTAGTCCTTCAGAACACATGGAAAGTGGTTTTTTGCTTTTCAGTAGATGTGCTCTTAATATAAAATCAAGACCCAAATGAATCAAAAAGAGTAGATAGAATTTTCACTGCTGTAATAGGCTGGCAGAAGAGATATTTTTGGCCTGGGACCTTCCTTTTTTTTTTTTTAAGATTTTATTTGAGCGAGAGCATGAGAGGAAAGAGGGTCAGAGGGAGAAGCAGACTCCCCGCCGAGCTGGGAGCCCGATGTGGGACTCGATCCTGGGACTCTGGGATTATGACCTGAGCTGAAGGCAGATGCCCAACCGACTGAGCCACCCAGGCGGGCCTGGGACCTTCTTGATTCTAGTCAAATTGTATACAAGGTCATGCATCAGTTTTTCCTCACTGAAAGATCAGGTCATTGGCTTTAGGGGGACAAGGAGCAGTTTCTGTGGAACTTCAGTGTGGGAAATGCTCTGGTAGTGTCACTCAGTCACAGGTGCCCGAGGGCCACAGTGCACGCAGCAGCCCACCCCAGAGTCCTGGCCCACAGCGCCCATTACTCCAGAACCGGAAGGAAGCAGCTGATGGCGCAGTTCCCAGCCACGCCAGGCCTCACGCCCTCTTGTTTCCTCTCTTAGGTCACCATACTTACCTGGGTTTCCTTACTTTTCCTTCTCCCTTACCTCTGCCTCAGTGTAAAAAGCCCTCCTGACATCATCACTGATCGAAGCCTCCAGTACCTCCCAGGAACCCTGAGGGGGCTCTGAGGCCTCTGCTGGCACATCTTTCTTACGCCTTGTTGAGAGAAGGACCTTTTGGGGGAGTGGAGAACCTATGGGCCTCCGAATTTGATGTGTGTAGTGTGGTGTTGGCTTCTGCTTCAACTCGAGTTTCAGTTTTAGCGGGCAGACTCGGCGGTGGGGGGGCGGGGTCCTGTGTTGTCTCCCAGCCTGCTCGGGGCCTGAGGAGCGTTGAAAGCAGGATGGGAATGGAGATCGTTATGTAGAATGTGTTAGAGGAAACAGATTTAGAGAGATCAAAAGATACTTGAATCTCTGTGGTGATTTTGTATCAGAAATGATAAAAGATCTACCATGAGAACTCACCTTAATGACCATATGGCCTTTTCTTTTTTAATCTTCTTTCGTTCTTAAATCTGGTCTTGCGTGAGTCCGAGTACGTGAGGTGCAGAGTCTTTGGGCTTTTAATGCATTGCTTTACGTGTACATCATTTCCAGTGGTGTCTGTGTTTGGTTTGCTTGCTTGCTTGATAGATAAAGCCAAAACTATGAAAATAAAAACAGACTACTTACCAAGCTGAGAATTGCGGCAGGTGACGTACGCACAATATCTAGATTGGAGAGGAGAAGCCTCACGCACCCATCCATCCGTTCATTCAGCTAACCTGTGTTGAGCCCCAACTAGTTGTTAACCACAAACTGCTTTATGTCTAGTTGTGAACAATAGGAAGTCCCCCCCCCCCCTTTGTGGAATTGATGTTTTAGAGCACAGATGAGTAAGTCAGTGGTTATCTCAGGCAGTAACGAGTACTGTGAAGACTAAGTGGGCAAGGGCTAGGGAGCGACGGCCACCGGCTCGGGTAGAGGAAGCTGAGCTGTGCTCCCGGGAAGCCGGAGAGCGGAGGGATTCCACGCGGCTGGAGCGTTGGCTTCCTGTCATAACAAGATGTAAACATCTTGGGCTCACGAAGCATAAGTAACCGTGCTGACGACGGGTGACCAGTTCTCTAAAGTGGCCTTTGTCTTCTCCACCATCACAGGTGTGGTTCCGCAGAGTGCGCCACCAGTGCCAACCGCCTCTTCCCGGTTCCATTTCCCACCGCTGGACACGCATTCTCCCACGAGTGCCGTGCGGCCGGGGCGGTTCTCTGCTGGCTCCCTCACTGCTTCTGGCCAGGAGTCGGCCAGTGGCGCCGACAGAAAGGCAGAGCTTCCGGAGCTGGAGGACAGCTCAGCCGCCGACTGGCGCCGGGGCGTGGATCTCCTGTCCTCCTCCCGGAGTGCCGCTGGTGGAGGGCTTGGCCATCAGAAACGCAAGCCTGACATAATGCTTCCTCTGTTCACCAGGCCAGGGATGTACCCTGACCCCCACAGCCCCTTCGCTGTCTCTCCGCTCCCCGGCCGCGGAGGTGTTCTGAACGTCCCCATCTCCCCGGCCCTCTCCCTGACTCCCACCATCTTCTCCTACAGCCCGTCCCCAGGCCTGAGCCCCTTCACCAGCAGCAGCTGCTTCTCCTTCAACCCCGAGGAAATGAAACACTACCTTCATTCTCAAGCCTGCTCTGTGTTCAACTACCATCTGAGTCCCCGGACCTTTCCCCGTTACCCAGGACTCATGGTCCCGCCACTGCAGTGCCAAGTGCATCCCGAGGAGTCGGCCCAGTTCTCCATCAAGCTGCAGCCACCGCCAGCTGGGCGGAAGAACCGGGAGAGAGTAGAGAGCAGTGAGGAGTCAGCCCCCATCACCACTCCCACCGTGGCTCCTGTCCCCCCAAGAATTAAGGTGGAGCCAGCCTCTGACAAGGATCCCGAAAGTCTCCGGCAGTTGGTGCGAGAGGAGGAGCGCTCCCACGAGGAGGGCACTGTGCCAGGCAGGACCATAGAGGAGGAAAAAGGCACCATCTTTGCCCGCCCGGCCGCACCAGTCTGGCCCTCTGTCCCTGTTAGCAGCCCGAGTGAAGAACCCCTAGAGGTGACTGAAGACAGTGAGGACAGGCCTGGCAAAGAGCCCAGTGCGCCCGAGAAGAAAGAAGATGCCCTGATGCCCCCCAAGCTCCGGTTGAAGCGGCGCTGGAACGACGACCCTGAAGCCCGAGAGCTGAGTAAGAACGGCAAGTGCCTGTGGAGTGGGTCTGGACCCCAGGGCTTGGCCACGGCCGCTGCCGACGCCTAGGACTGGAGGTGGATTGGGAGCTGTTTATACTATAATCACATGCAGACGTGTATTTATGTAGCGAGATTTCAGGGTTGGGGGGAGGGGAGGGAATTAGACCGGTTTGATCATTCTAGGGGCATAGACGTCTTTTTATGTTTGGGGGATGGGATGGGTATCTTCTGTTGTAAATTAGGTGGGACGTGAACACTTTTTTCCTGGTGAGTAGCACACGGGAAGGGAAATGAACTAAAAGGAGGAAGAGCCTCTGCTTCCTGGGGAGGCTACGCTTTCTGACAGACTCCCAGGGCGCCAAGGTGCCCTTGGTCCCATTAGAGTTCAGGTTCCAGACTTCTTTCTTTTCTATTGTATTTATATATGAAAAGCCATTAATGAATTTCTTTTGCTCGGAGGGGGAGGGAGAAGGGAGTAGGGCGTGGTGGGGAGGCTGAGCAGAGAGAGACCATTATACTAAGTGTGTTGCCTGAAATGTTTCTGTGTAGTTCCTTCGGGGGAGGAGTAAGGTAATCTCAGTCTTACTGGGACAGGGGGTGTTCAGATGTTGCTTTTTTTCTTTCTTCCTTTGTCGTCGTTTGGCATTTTTTCCTTTCCTTTTTAAAAAAACCGGCTGCAGGGAGTGGGAGCTGCGGCTCCAGTCCCAGGACTGGGAGGGCCAGGCGGGGCGGCGGGACTCGCGCGGCGGGCTCCTTGGACTCACCCCTCCTTCACCTGCTAAGAAGCCATGAGGACTCGTAAGCTCTCGTTCAGGGAAGACAGAAGAGGGCATGAGGAAGTAACCCAATGCCTTTAAAAACAAAACAAACACAAAAATGATCTTCATTTTTCCTTTTCCATCGTGGGTTCGGGGAGCCAGACTGCGGAGTGACTGGGAGTGAGTTCGCCAAGCAGCCCGACCCTGGAGATGGCTGCGACGTGTCTGGGTCTCTGATCGTCTCCTAAGTGAAGCCTTAATAATGAACATCCTTTCATCACGTGATACGGGTCTGTCAGCATAAACCTGTAGAAGGGACGGACAACTCTTCAGACAACCCGGGAATGTGGAAACGTGGTTACATGTCGAGCAGGTGTTTAGTGGTCCCCTCTTGACTTCCTGGGGCCGGGGAGCAGAAAGGCAGGGTTATGGGAGCTCAGGGCTGATGAAGCCCGGAAGTGCAGAAGGTAGCCGGGGTGCGAGTGGATGCTTGTGGAGGCTGAAGGCGGAGGTGGACAGAGACCCAGCAGGTAGCTAGATGCCAGAGCCTGGTAGGAGCGAAGGAGTCGGTGTCCTGTTGTGGTGTTGCCGTCCCTGCCATACCCACTTCCCTAGATTGTTCTCATTCTCACGATCAGCTGACCATCCCACAGGAGACTCCAATTTACAGGGAGAAGCTGTTTCTCTGAGGGAGAGCCCCTTCCGTCAGCACAAAGGAACAGGAAAGTATCACTCTTGCATGAAGCAAAAGGGGCCTGATTTTGGGCGGGGGCGCTGCAGAGAGAAGCCACAGCCACCCACGTGTGCGTGCTCATAACTGCGTGCTGTGGCGAACAGAGGAGACGCTGAAGTGGCTCGAGTCGGCCTGGCGTCGAGGCAGGGAGAGAGGAGAGGGCTCTATATAGCCAGTGGAGGTGAGAAGTGGGCACAGGGGCACCGTCTAGGAATTGGAGGAATCCCCGACTCCACCTTAGCCTCAGTGAACTCTACACTGAGAAGCATTCGAAGGTTATCTTTTAATGGGGGTTGGGAGGATCTTTTTGAAAGGAGTGCATGCATGAGAGGCGGGAAAGGGTCAGAGCAGGTGAGTGGGTTGATGGGTGGCTTGGGATGACTTGAGTCCATCGTGCTATTGTCTGGCAAGTGTCCACCTCCTCGTTCAGTTCAGATTCCAAATAGTGATTTGTCTTTCCCTAGGGAAGGGATCAGGAGCGCGGTATCTATCAACTCAGGCTTTGGTCGGGCTGCAAAGGGCTCCCTGTTCAGGCTCCTTTTGGTTTTTCGTCCATTTCTCTCTCTGCACCTCTTACCTCGGATCAGAAAGCAAGCCCGGGCAGGTGCAGGACGGCTCTCTGCTTGGCGTTGCTCAATCTAACCAGGGAGGCTGGCTGGCCCCCACCTCTGTCCACGAGAGCAGAGGGCCGGCACGTGTCGGTATGAACTCAGGAATAGAAACTCGAGGCCTTTAAAATAAGAGGGAGAGAAATCCGTGATGCATACCTGTAACCCCCTGGAACCCAAGTGCCAGAATTAATTCCTAGATGCTGCTTCTGTTTGAACAAAAAGTCACTGCTTTTAACTTGAAAAAACACTCGAAAAATGTTCAACTCCATGAAAAATGTTTTTTGGCTTTAAGAAATTGTTTGGTGTTTTACTGTTTCCTTTGACTGCCATTCCACCAGGAAATCATTGGTTGATTTGCACTGCACACTGGGGCTGGGGCAGGGGGTGGGGGTCCTTACACAGAGCCAAACTTGGGCTTGCTCAGGAAGGGGACCAGGAATGTGGAAGTCGTTGACATTTCCTGGGGTAAAGGGGTGGGGGGTACTTTCTCACCCCCCGACCCCCTCCTGGCATCACCTGTCGCCAGCCCAGCACAAAACCAGGCCTCTCTCTCTGTGAGTTTCATCACTGGCAGCGGGTGGGGAAAGGGGGAACAAAACCAGGCCTGTTTTCTCCCCCATTTTTTCCAAATTTCGCTGTGCCAAACGTTTAAAACTTTGCAGATATAAATCTTGAAATTTCATTAAGAACTTGTTCATGCAGACAGTTTGCTTTTTTGACTATAGAGAAAAAAGATCTCGAGCATCCAGCACTGCTGAGCTCCTTTTTTTTTTTTTAAGGACGGCTAGGAGTGTCCTATAAGTGACGCCCCAGGTCCCTTCACCCCAGTCTTCAGGCTGCACTGCATTAAACCAGCTTGCTAGCTAACACAGGGAAATACTGCACCCTAGTCCTCCATGGGCCAAGAAACTTTCAGAAGCATTAAAAAACATAGTTGAAGTACATCAATTCTCACCAAGCGGGTAGTCCGTTGGCGGTTTGTCCCTTGTTTTTTATTTATTCCATAATTATGTTTGTACTCTTTGTTTTGTAAAGGGTAATGGAACATTTTAATTTTGCTTAAAAATTTCTTTGATCCAATCTTTCAAGAACTGTTCTATTTTTCACTTTGGAGGGTGGGGGGAGTTACCAGTTAATTTGTTTTGAAATATCTGGGCGTTCTTTGAGTTATAAAATTGTGAGGCAGGGATTTGTGAGTGAGACATTCACATGTGAAAGGTGACTTCACTAGTTATCCGCTTCAGCAGAATAAAGTGTGTATATGTACATAGATGTAAGTAATCGACTCCATTGTGCAGTGCCTTTTAGATGTTCCACTTTCTATAAAGTCTTCAGATTTTTGCATATATATTATATATATATGATGTAATGTTATAGAAATATATGTATAATATACATATTTTTTCCAGGGGTATCTGATAGCTCTGTATTTTGTTATGGAAGTTGAAAGAAAAAAGTATTTTACCTCAGAAATTAAAGTTAAATAAAAAAAATACTTTTAAATAACGTTTGCAGGGTGTTGGTGGTGTTGACACGCTGCGCCCAGGGCGGCCGCGGCTGAGAACCTACCGAGCCTATGCCCGCTCACCCCATCCACCCCCCCCCTTCGTCCAGTCGCACAGGGAGGGGGCAGGTCTGACAGCTTCGGGAACTGTCCATATCCTGGCGTCACTGGCCACTGCTAGAGAAGGGACAACTGAAGCCAGGGACACCAGTGCGTGGGGGAGCTTTCTGCCTCAAGATTGTCCTGAAGATGAAGAGTACGTGGCACAGGGGCGCCCAGCCGGCTCAGTCGGTAGAACACACGGCTCTTGATCTCAGGGTGGTGAGTTCAAGCCCCGTGGTGGGCATAGAGCTTACTTTAGAATTAAAATTAAAAGAGCGCCTGACAAATCCAGACCCAATAGGCCACACGTTATATGGTTCCGTTTATAGGAAACGTCCAGAATAGGCAAGTCTGTGGAGACAGAGCCTAGGCTGGCAGTTGCCAAGGAGAGTAGGGCTGCTGATGGGCCACATGTTCTTGGAGGGATGGCAGTGTTGTGCGGTTCGTGCTGAGAGCTGCCAACTTGAATGAAGACCACTGAGTCACGGTTACTTTGAAAGGGTGAATTCTATGGTATGTGAGTTATATCTCAATACAGGTGGTTTGGTGAGGTATGTGACAAGCCAGTACTCGGGAAGCCAGTGGGGGACGGGAATCCAGAGGGGCAGGCAGGGTTCTCGCTGGGGTGTTGAATGTCCCACAACACAGCCTACAAAAGATGGTGCCCGGCTAAGTCACCTCATTTCACCCCTGAGGGCCCCATGTTCGTCGAATCAGAGCCAGGTGTTAAGTTTGACTCCTCTTGAAGGGTCCTGTGAGTTCAGCAAGGCTGGGATCGATGAGGGGCGAGGCTGGAGAGGCAAGCTAGGGCAGATCATGAAAGGCCTTAGGAGATGCCTGGGGAGGCCACATTTTACTCGGCTAGCGGTGGCTATCCCCAGAATTTTGCAAGAGTGCCATTTTACTAGCCGGTGAGGAGCATGGCGGTCACGGCCCTGGGGAACCGCCCAGCCTGTCAAGATCGCTGCTCGGGACCAAGTGAAGGGACAGACTGGTGGAGTCCCCGAACCACCCAAGTCAAGCTGGGAGTGAGCTCGGAGGCAGACCCCCATGCTGGGACTGCCTCCCGCTGCTGGAAGCAAAAGGAGACAGCTGGTTAGGAACACAACGGGGTGTAGTTTTGAGATGAAGCCCCAAGCGTCTGGCTCTGCTGCCCTGCATTGACCATCAGCACGCAGAATTGTGTGGAGGTGGTGGTGGCAGGAGGCGAGAAGGTAGGGCTCAGCCCCTCGGGCGTCCGGGTGGGGACTGGAGCCCTCTGGTGGCTCGGGGTTACCTCCCTGCCACACACTCCGGCCGCGCGCTCGGCCTGCGCCGCAGACGGGCAGTGACCCCGGGCCAGGCTGCCTGGTGTTCGTGCCTCCCACCTCGTGACGGCCGTCTGGGGCAGGAGCCGTGTATCCGCAGGCCACTGGGGGGACACTGAGTCACAGCAGGTAACGGGTATGACCGGGGTGCGAGCCCCAGTGCCCGTGCTCTCCACCACTCAGCCATAGGACCTCTCGGGCCTGCCGACCCGCTGGTCTGCCCCACCGCCCACAACACCCTCCCTGCCTCCCCTCTGCCTGGCCAGTTCCACCTTCGCCTTCCTTCCCGGGCCCCTCTGAGGGGTTCTGCTGCTGCGCGGACCCTGGCACCATCGCCCTTCACGCTGCCGCCCGCGCCCACTGGGGCTGGTGCTCTGGGGGTGGGCAGGAAGCGGGGGGCTGGCGCTCTAGTGCCCAGC